GCATCTATGTTCATGAGGGATATTGGCCTGTAATTCTCTTTCATTGAGTTGTCTTTATCTGGCTTTGGTATTAGGGTGATGCTGGCTTCATAGAAGGAGTTTGGAAGTGTTCCTTCCTCTTGGATTTTTTGGAATAGTCTGAGGAGGATAGGTTTTAGTTCTTCTTTGAATGTTTGGTAAAACTCTCCTATGAAGCCATCTGGCCCTGGGCTTTTGTTTGCTGGAAGCTTTTTGATGACTGTTTCAATTTCTTCCCAAGTCACTGGTTTATTGAGATTTTTAGATTCTTCCTGATTGAGTTTTGGAAGTTTGTATTTTTCTAGGAATATGTCCATTTCCTCCAGGTTGTTCAGTTTGTTGGAGTAGAGTTGTTCATAGTATTTTGTAACAATTCGTTGTATTTCGGTGGGGTCTGTTGTTATTTCACCTCTTTCATTTCTGATTTTGTTTATTTGGGTCCTCTCTCTTTGTTTCTTGGTTAGCCTGGCTAGAGGTCCATCTATCTTGTTTATCCTTTCAAAGAACCAGCTTTTGGTTTTGTTGATCTTATGTATTGTTTCTTTGGTCTCTATGTCGTTTATCTGTGCTCTGATTTTTGTTATTTCCTTCCTTCTGCTTACACTGGGCTTTTCTTGTTGCTCTTTTTCTAACTCTTTGAGTTGTAGAGTTAGATCATTTGTTACCCTTTTTTCTAGTTTTTTGCAATAGGCTTGTAAGGATATGAACTTCCCTCTCAAAACTGCTTTTGCTGTGTCCCATAGATTTTGGATTGTTGTGTTTTCATGGTCATTTGTTTCCAGTATGTTTTTAATTTCTTCCTTGATTTCTCTGGTAACCCAGTCCTTGTTTAATAGCATGCTGTTTAGTCTCCATGTGTATGATTTCTTTGGATTATTTTTATTGTAGTTAATTTCCAGTTTTATGCCATTATGGTCTGAGAAGATGCTTGATATGATTTCTATCTTCTTGAATTTGAAGAGACTTTGCCTATGTCCCAAAATGTGGTCTATCTTTGAGAATGTCCCATGTGCATTTGAGAAGAATGTATATTCTGTGGCTTTGGGGTGGAATGTTCTGAAGATGTCAATTAATTCCATCTGGTCTAGTGAGTCATCTAGGATTGATATTTCTTTGCTGATTTTTTGTTTAGATGATTTGTCGAAGGGTGACAGTGGGGTATTAAAATCTCCTACTATGATTGTATTGCTATTAATCTCTCCCTTAATGTCCTCCAGCAGTTTTTTTATGTATTTGGGTGCTCCCGTATTGGGTGCATATATATTTACCAGGGTTATTTCTTCTTGTTTGATTGCTCCCTTTAGTATTATGAAGTGGCCTTCATTATCTCTTGTTATGTCCTTCACTCTGAGATCTAATTTGTCAGATATGAGTATTGCTACCCCAGCTTTCTTTTCATTTCCATTTGTCTGGAAAACCTTTTTCCATCCCTTCACCCTCAGTCTGTGTGCATCTCTTTTTCTGAGGTGGGTTTCTTGTAGACAACAGATGTATGAGTTTTGTTTTCTTATCCAATCTGTTACCCTATGTCTTTTGATTGGAGCATTTAAACCATTTACATTTAATGTTATTAATGATAGGTACTCATTTGACGCCATTTTTATTCCATACCCCTGTGTTCCTTCTTCGCTTCCTATTTCTTTATTTTTACAGTAGACCCTTTAGCATTTCTTGCATTGCTGGTTTGGTGGAGATAAATTCCTTTAGTCTTTTTTTGTCTGTGAAGCTCCTGATTTCCCCTTCAATTTTGATTGATAGTCTTGCTGGGTACAGTATTCTTGGATTCAGACCCTTTCTTTGCATGACTTTGTATATTTCATCCCATTCCCTTCTGGCCTGATAAGTTTCTGTTGAGAAATCAGTTGTTAGTCTGATGGGGGTTCCTTTATATGTAACTTTCTGTCTCTCTCTGGCTGCTTTTAAGATTCTTACTTTGTCATTGGTGTCTGCCAATTTAATTATAATATGTCTTGGCGTCGGTCTTCTGGGATCCATTTTGCTTGGGACTCTGCGAGCATCTTGGATTTGTGTGGGTTTTTTCTTTATCTCAGGAAAGTTTTCTGTCATTATTTCTTGAAATACGTCTTCCATGTCTACCTCGGTTTTCTTTCCTTCCAGAACCCCTATTATTTGAATATTGTTTTGTTTTGCATTGTCCCAAAGCTCCCGCTCTCCTCCTGCTTTTTAATTTTTTTTTCTAGAAGCTGCTCTAATTGGGTATTTTTTCCATCTTGTCTTCTAGCTCACTGATGTGATCCTCTGCTTCTTCTAGTCTGCTCTTGATGCTTTCTATTGAGTTCTTCATAGTAGCAATGTCATTTTTCATTTCATCTTGAGTCATCTTCATTTCCTCTTGGTTTTTTTTCATTTCCTTTTGGGTCTTACTCATATTGTCAAATTTCTCTTCCATTCTTTTTAGCCATCTTAAGATTGTTACTCTGAATTATTGCTCAGGTAGGTTGCTTGCCTCTAACTCGTTTACTTCCTTTTCTGGTGATGCCTGCTTTTCTTTCATTTGTGGGCTGTTTCTTTGTCTCCCCATGGTCTCTCTTCAGGATGTCTCTCTCCTGTGTTGATTTATCTCTCTTGTGCTCCCGTCCTGCTCCCCATCTTGGCCGCAACCTGAGGACAGCAGCCTGTTTCCCTGTGCGGGACCCTGGGTCTCGATACTAACTTATATTTTAAAAAAATATAACCATAATCATGTCATCACAACCTAAAGAAATATAGGGTGGAGCAAAAGTTTACAGTTGTAAGTATACAAAACAAGAGTTTATTCTTGTATTATTATTTGTTAATTACTAGAGGCCCAGAGCATGAAAATTCATACATTCGAGGGGGTGTCCCTCATCCCAACCTGTCCCCTCTCACGGTCCAGGAGCCCGCAGGGGCAGATGACCCAGCAATCAGGGGAAGGCGACGCCCCATCACACCTCTGTTGCTGCTATTGTCAGCAGTGCAAGCCTCAGCCAGCCTTGAACCTTGAACCTCCGGTGGCCCTGGTCGGCTGGGCAGCCACCATCTGAGGCTTGCCTGCACCTCAGGCTGGCCCTGGGCAGCTGGGTGGCTGAGGGAAATGGGGGACTCTAGAGGCAGGCAGGCACCCAGGCAAGGCTGAGGGGACTGGGTGCCATCATCTTGTGGCTGTGGGCACCACCATCTTTTGAGGGTGTGACAGTCAATTCGCATATTCCTGCCTTATTGGCTGCGGGCACCACCATCTTTGTGACAGTGTAAGGGTCAATTAGCATATACCCTCTTTATTAGATAGGATAGTATTATTTTCCATACAAGTAACTGTAAACCTTTTTTTCCCTGGTTTGTGCAATTTGGCTTGTATTTACTGTTTTTTTTTCTTCCTTTTTTATTATTATTTAAAATATTACAAATAATAGTACATATGTCTTCTTTCCCCCCCCCCCATTGACCTTCCCCCAGCTTCCCCTACACCCCTGCACATGCCCTCACCCCACTCCCCCCACCCCAATGTCTTGCATCCAATGATTATGCTTATATGCATGCATACAAGTCCTTCAGTTGATCTCTTACCGACAATCCCCCCACCCCCCAGGCTTCCTGGTGTAATTTGACGTCTATTCAAGGTTTCTCTGCCTCTGCCTTTGTTCATCAGGTTATTTTATTATCCATAAATGAGTGAGATCATATGGTATTTTTATTTCACTGACTGGCTTATTTCACTTAACATAATGCTCTCTAGTTTCATCCATGCTGCTGCAAATGGTAAGAATGCCTTCTTTTTATAGCAGCGTAGTATTCCATTGTATAGATGTACCATAGTTTTCTAATCCACAAATCTGCTGATGGGCATTTAGGATGTTTCCAAATCTTAGCTATTGTAAATTGTGCTGCTATGAACATATGGGTGCATATATCCTTTTTATTTGGTATTTCTGTTTTCTTAGGATATGTTCCTAAAAGTGGTATTAATGGGTCAAAAGGCAGTTCGATTTTTAAATTTTTGAGGAAACGCTATACTGTTTTCCACAGTGGCTGCACTGGTCTGCATTCCCACCAACAATGAAGGAGGGCTCCTTTTTCTCTGCATCCTCTCTAGCACTTGTCATTTGTTGATTTGTTAATGATAGCCATTCTGACAGGTGTGAGGTGCTACCTCATTGTTGTTTTGATTTGCATCTTATAAAACTACTTTTGTCCTACCCTGTATAATAATAATTTCTTACTGTCATCAAATACCCAGTTAATATACACATTTCTCAAATCATTTTATGGCTAAATGTAATTTTTCATAATTGAAAGTGGCCAGAAAGTATGGAATCTCCCCAAGATGTTACTAAGGGCAAAAATAAGAGCACAGCTAAAGGCAATTACTGAAAAGAATGAAAGTCTTAGATGTTTGCATTCCGCTGCAGTCAGACTGCTCAATAAACCAGATCCTGCACAGTGCCCCTAGGGATGGGTTCCTGCCGGCCGGTCATGGCTGTTCCATGCTTGCTCTATCGATATTTGCCCTCACCCCACTTCCTCATGAGCTCCTCCTCCTCTAGATTGGGCTCCAGAGGTAGTGCCTCTCCTCTGGGCTCCATACACTTTGTCTCCCCCGCAAGGTAAGAACTTATCAAAGGCAGGGACTGCTTTCTCACCCTTTTGTATCCTCTGGGCCCAAAAGTTAAGAAAGTTGAGGCAGCTTGAACCATGACACCTATCCCTGCCTTTCGGACTTTGACTACAACCCACAATCCAGAATTCCCCTGCCTTCTGAATAGGCCCCATCTTTTAAACTCCATGTTGGCTCTTCCCCAAATGTGACAATTATAAATTCATAATCTTGGACTGGACTTCCTGGCTACCCCAAGTTCATTTCTTAAGCCCAGACTTCAATATTTCTTCCATCTTTTCTATGTTGTCTGTCTCTCTTTCTCTTACCCTGTTCCCCAAACCATGGTCCGCAGGGAAGGCCATGCTCCCATCTGAGCCTGCCTGTGCTCAACACCCTGCCTTACCTGTGGCATCCAGATGATCTTCTGCGTCCGGAAGAAGTGGTACTTGGCTGAGAAGGACTCATAGCCTCCTCTCAGGATCTTAACAGGATAGCGGGTGAGGTGGGCTATGGCTTTGCCACATCCAATGGCAGTTCCTCCAGCAAACTGATCTAAGAGTGGAGACCAAAGAAATGAATGTCTCCTGCGTGTTGCCCATTTGTCTAAAGCTTCAACAAATGGCCACTTTATCCTGAAAAGCAATTATCTAGAAGGCTGAAGCAAATACAGAAATGGGTGTTACAATTAAAATGTGAAAGCAGCCAAAACCGGTTTGGCTCAGTGGATAGAGCGTCAACCTGTGGGCTGAAAGGTTTCAGGTTCGATTCCGGTCAAGGGCATGTACATTGGTTGCGGGCACATCCCCAGTAGGGGGTGTGCAAGAGGCAGCTGGTCGATGTTTCTCTCTCATCCATGTTTCTAGTTCTCTATCTCTCTCCCTTCCTCTCTGTCAAATATCAATAAAATATATTTTAAAAAAATAAAATAAAATGTGAAAGCAACTTACCACCAAGAAAGTTAATCTTTTTCTATAAATATATATAGTATCATATATTGTATGCTATATTTTGTGTATCATACAAATCACCTATTTGTACATGGTACAGCTAGTGTACAATTCAATGGTTTTTAGTTTAGTCATAGAATTGTATAATCATCACCACAATTTTAAACATTTCCATCACCCAAGAAACCCTGTACCAGTTAAAGGGGTTCACTCCTCATTTCCTTCCAAAGACTCAGCTCTAGACAACTGCTAATCTAACTTCTCTATTGATTTACCTATTCTGAACATTTCATATAAGTGAAATCATGCATTATGTCTGACTTCTTTCACTTGGCATAATGTTTTCATAGTTCATCTATGTTGCAGCACATTTCAGCACTTCATTTCTTTGTACAGCTGAATATTATTATATTGTGTGGTTCTACCACACAAAATATTATTCATTATCCATTCTTAAATAAATATTGGTGGGTGTTTAGGTTGTTTCCACTTTTTGGCAATTAGAAATAATGCTGCTATGAACATTCATGAACAAGTTTTTGTGTGCACATGTTTTCATTTCTCTTGGGTACAAATCTAGGAGTGAAATTGCTGGACCATGTAATAACCCTACACCTAATTTTTGAGGAAAGTGCCAAACTTTATACAGCGACTGCAACATTTTACATTCCAACCAGCAGTGTATGAGTGTTGAAATTTTTCTACATCCTCGTCAATTGTCTTTTTAAAAATATATATTTTATTGATTTTTTACAGAGAGGAAGAGATAGGATAGAGAGTTGGAAACATTGATGAGAGAGAAACATCGATTAGCTGCTTCTTGCACAACCCCTACTGGGGATGTGCCCGCAACCAAGGTACCATATTTTTCGGACCATAAGACGCACTTTTTTCCCCCCAGAAGTGGGGGGGGGAAAGTCCCTGCGTCTTATGGTCCAAATATAGCCTACACATATACTTTAAAAAAAAAAGTTTTTTTACTTGCCCGGCTCTGTGTGGTCTCTGTGTGCTTGCCCGGCTCTAAAATGGTTCTAAATGCTGCTGTTTACTTTACAGGGTTGATTACATGTGTTTATGACTGTGATGTTGGGTTTTAATGCACATAAAATATTTTAGGACACTATTTGTTTCAGAATCTTGTTTTCTTCATTTCCCTTCTCTAAAAACTGGTGCGTCTTATGGTCCGGAGCGTTTTATGGTCCGAAAAATACAGTACATGCCCTTGACCGGAATTGAACTTGGGACCTTTCAGACTGCAGGCCGACGCTCTATCAATTGAGCCAAACCAGTTTCGGCGACAATTGTCCTTTTTATTATAGCCAGCCTAGTGGTTGTGAAGTGTTATCTCATTGTGGTTTTGTTTTTTAAAAATATATTTTTACTGCCGAAACCGGTTTGGCTCAGTGGATAGAGCATCAGCCTGTGGACTGGAAAGTCCCAGGCAGCTGATTGATGATTCTCTCTCATCGATGTTTCTAACTCTCTATCCTTCTCTCTTCCTCTCTGTGAAAAATCAATAAAATATATTTTTTAAAAGCCATTATTATATATATATATATATTTTTTTTAAATTTTATTTTAATTTTATTGCTTTCAGAGAGGAAATGAGATGGATAGATAGAAACATCAATGATAAGAGAGAATCATTGATTAGCTGCCTCCTGCAATCCCCACACTGGGGATTGATCCCACAACTGGGGCATGTGCCTTGGCTGGAATCGAATCCAGGACCCTTCGGTCCACAGGCCGACACTCTATCTATTCAGCCAAACTGGTCAGGGCCTTATTGTGGTTTTGACATCAATTTAATCTAAAATGTTTTAATTGATCTTTAGACTATGGGCAAATTAGATATGTGACAGGAAGTTTGTATAATTAAGACTAAGCCAAGATATCCCAAGGCCAGGATCTGACCCCTAAAGAGAGATACTGTGCTAAAGGAGAAAGGGATGGGCATGGACTCTGACAGTTATAATGAATCTTGTCCAAGGAAAAAAGGCCAATTCCAGCAGGGGCTGCTGAGGAAAAAAGCCGCTTGAGACTCATCTGGAGAAACTGTATTTGGGGAAAGAACCTGCAAACAATAGCAAGGCCAGGAGAAAACCTGTAGCTGGCAAAACAGGAGCCAAAGCCCACCCGAGGGCCTGACTTGGAAGCCAGAGAGCCCTGGATCTCCCAGGGTCTTACAGCCCCATCTCCCTCTTGAATAAGAGACTAAGTAAGGATGGGGTAGGTCAGAGGGTCCAGGCGAGTTAGGGAGAGAGTTCCAGGCCACTAGTGCCTTTAAACCAGACAGCTGCTCCCCTGTCAATGTCACACAGCCACCTGGAGTATTCACATACAGGGACAATGGGATCAGAGATGGAGGAAGGTCAGTTTCCAGGAGATAATTAGAGACTCAGATGGAAAGCTAGGGCCCAGGTTACCCAGCAAGGATTCTGAGACTCCCACAGCAAAGGTGGGGAGTGGTTAACACAACACTGCAGAAGGCCCAGGTTTGAGGAGCATGTGTGGAAGGTCAGGGAAAGCCTGGATAGGAGGGCACAAGTCTAAGTGCACTGACAAGGTGGAGAGAACCACTCATGACTTACCCTAGAAGCGGACATTCTGGGCACAGCCCATGGCCACAGGCCCCATAGGCTGAGCTGCACCTCTTCCAGAGGCCAGCAGAAAAGGACTACGTAGAGACCAATACCTGTTTCAAGGATGTGATAAAGGTTCCCCCTCAAGGCAATCTCCTAGAATTTCTTGAGGGTCAGGGAGGTGGGTGCTTAATAGTGGAAAGGAGAAAGGAGTGGTGAGAGAAATCTTGATATGGTCTTTTACCCCAAAGAATGACTTTACCTGAAAGATGCCACTTTAAAGGAGAAAAGTTGCCTTGAGTGGGCAAGGTGTGCGCATGAGTGGTTTTGGTTTTTATTGTTTTGTGATTGTAGCTACCTACTCAGTGAGAACAGGGGCTGCATAGCACAGTGAGGTCAGATATAGAATGTAAGGAGGGTTATTTTTATTGGTCACTGTTCCCTAGGATTTCAGGGTCCAGCCTACAATCCCAGGATTAGCAGACCAGACCCACCCTCATAGGAATGTACCGCAGACTGTGAGTTTGGGGAAGATAATTTTCTAGCTAAGGACCTCCTGGGAAGACTGGCTTTATTAAAAGTGGAAACCTAGTGCCACCCAGTGACCATTTGTGTGAATGCCCCAGCTCATACACCCACCTACACATATTAGTGACTGAGCCACAAACAGCAGAGCCCCATGTCAATGGCCAGAGGTGGTCAGCCCAAAGTAATGGCTGAATGGAGATTGCTCTGGAACATCAGCAAAGCACATTAGAACCAATTACGCTTTGATGCTCCAGCTCAGGGCTTGAGTGACTTTGCACTGTTTTCCAACATCACAACCCAGGCCTTAAAAGACTGGAGAGCCAAAGTACCTAGGTTTTAATCACTTACTAGGTGTTTTTGTTGTTGTTGTTGTTGTTTTTTTTAATGCCCACAAATTCTTTCAAATGTTGAAAGAATTTTAAAAGTTGAGTCTAGCCGAAACCAGTTTGGCTCAGTGGGAGAGCGTTGGTCTGCGGACTAAAAGGTCCCGGGTTCGATTCCGGTCAAGGGCATGTATGTTGGTTGCGGGCACATCCCCGGTGGGGGGTGTGCAGGAGGCAGCTGGTCGATGTTTCTCTCTCATCGACGTTTCTGGCTATCTCTCTTCCTTCCTCTCTGTAAAAAATCAATAAAATATATTAAAAAAAAAAAAAAAAGTTGAGTCTAATTTCCTTCCCCTTGATGGTAGACTATACTCAGTGACTTCCCTCTAATAAACAGAATGTGGTGGAGGCAACTGTATATAAACTCAAGTCTAGGTCATAAAAGGCGTGTGGCTTTTCCTTTCTCTCTCTGATCACTCACTCTGGGGGGGGGGGGGGGGTTACCAGCTGCCATGTGGCGAAGCCATGCAAGCAGTCCTATGGGGAGGTACATGGGGTGAAGAACGAAAGTCTCCTATCAACAGCCAGAATTACTCTCACATGACTAGCTATGTGGCAATAGATAACCCTCTAGGTGTGAGATCTTGGGCAAGTTACCTTGCCTTTCAGGGCCCTAATTTCCCCATCAATAAAATGGGGATGTTACCTATTAGGAAACAATTATCCATGGTCTCTCACATCTTGACATGTCCTTTAAACAAGGCAGTGGCTTCTCAAGGATATTTATATAACCAACAGCTTTAGGAGATGGACTGTTTTCCTCCGGAGCCAATGATGGGTAGGTAGGCTTCTGCCCATTATAAAAGATTCAGGCCTCCTAAGCTCAGAGTTCTTCTAAAATGCAATGCACTACATGAATAAGTGTATTTGGCTGTCTTCATGTCACCCTGTGAGAACTGGGACATGGGCACAAGTGCAGGAAAATTAAGACATTCTAGTTACTTCTATTGCTCTGACTTTGTCTTTGACCCAGGAGCCTCATGTCTTCAGCTAGCATCTCTGAAACGGTGGCAGGTTCAGAGCTCTTCCCAGTTCGTCAAATTACTATCCTCATAGGGATGTACTGCAGACTGCATGAGTTGACCCAGGGAGAACTCCTGACATGGTTCCTGGCATGTGTCAAAAGTATTCAATAATGTTAACTTATTCTTTCTTCTTTTTTTTTTTTTTAAATAAATCTTTATTGTTCATATTATTACAAATGTTCCTTAACTTATTCTTATGGCTAGTGTAAAACCTACCATTTCTACTACTGCCAGAGTTGTCACTGTCATCTTTTAGGATTAGGTTCAGGCAGCTGGTATTGCTATCGTACACCACACAGTACTTCACACACTCTAGATCCACAGATTCCGGGATAAGGTATTCATCTGCTATCTAAAGAAACCACAAGAGAAGCCTGTTGACAGGTGGGTTCAGATGAGAAAATATTCCCTGCACACCAGCACCAGGAGGAGCTGGAGGTAGGACTGTGCCTGTTTTCCTGACTGTACATGAGCACAGAGCACTGAGAGTTGACTGGAGAGTCTACTAAATTCCAAGGATCTTCCACACCCAAATCCCCTGGTATAAAAAGCTGACCACAGCTGACTGGACCAGAAATAAGTGCCTGGCCAAAGAACAGTCTGCCTACTGACTCACCAACTGAACTAACATATCCTATCTCTGGGGGCAAGTGGTTGCTGATAGGGGCCAAAGCCAAAATCCCTCATAAGCAGATTTGAATAAGCAGACATCATGAGCAAGCAGATAAAATGAGGCCAAATATAAGCTCAAATATAAGCTTTGTGAGAGCAGGAACACTGATGTATCCTGGATTTCTAGAACAATGCCTGGCACATTAGAACTATAAATATGGTTAAAGGAAGGAATGGGCAAGCAGGTCCATGAGATCATGAAGAATAGTCAGGAAGTGGTTGAGTCACCATCATGGCAGACACAAGGGCAAGAACAAGGGGTGCCTTCTGCCCACAAGGGAATGAGCTTGCAGAACCAGACTTGTGTAAGATCCTAAAGGATATTCCAGAGCTCCAGAGACCTGGCAGAGCACCAGCCCGGAGGTTAGTCCTCATTTGTTCTCAATGCTTCCCGAAAGTCCCCACTAACTCAGGGGAACCTGAGTCTTACTCTGTCCCTTGGGACCTGTCTGACTGACATATAGGCCCTGACAGAGGACCTGCATGTGGGCTAGGACAAGCACACATCTGCTCTACAAGACAGAGAGATAAGGTCTGTACAGGTACAGACCAGGGAAGTTCTCTGGAACTTGAAGAGGAGAAATCATATTTGTCTACAGGAATTAGCAGACTGTTGGTGCTCAGATTATGAGCAGGATTTATTCAGGTGATATTGAGGAAAGGGGGGATTCTGGGTGTGGAAAAAAGCATAAGCAAAGGGAAAAGTGGAGCAAATGGGAGAGCAGGGAGAGGTGTGGCTGCACATTCAGTTATTCAATAAACATTTGTTCAGGACCTACTTTGCACCTACACTGTAGATTCTAGACTACAAAGATTTAATATATATATATATATATATATATATATATATATATATATATATATATATTTTTTTTTTTTTTTTTTTTTTTTTTTTTAAAGAGAGGAAGAAAGATGGATGGAGAGGTAGAAACACTGATGAGAGAGAAACATTGATCAGCTGCCTCCTGGAAGCCTCCCACTGAGGATGTGCCCAGAACCAAGGCACAAGCCCTTGACTGGAATGGAACCTGGGACCCCTTAGTCTGCAGGCTGACACTCTATCCACTGAGCCAAACTGGTCAGGGCTGGAATACAGAGATTTCTTTAAAAATGTTTTGATTTTTTAGAGAGAAAGGAAGAAGAGGGAAATAGAAACATTGATGAGAGAGAAACACTGACTGGCTACCTTCTGCATGCCCCCTACTGGGGATTGAGCCCACAATCCAGGCATGTGCTTTGAGCTAGAATTGAGCCAGTGACCTCTTGGTTCATGGTTTGATTAAAAAAATTTTTTTTTAAGGAAAATTGCCTCAGTTGGTCTGGAGGACTCAGAAAGGCATACAGAATAGGAGGCATTTAAGATGAGGCTGCAGAGACAAGTGGACATTTGCCAGATGAACAAGGACTGGAGGGGTCTTTGAGGCAGAAGGAACAGGTTCTAGTCATTATCTTTAGTCAACAAATAGCTATGGAGTATCAACCTGATGTCAGGAACCAGAGAGAACACCTAGGATGCAATAATGAGCAAAGCATACCCCTACTCTGTGCTCAGAAAGAGCAGTATGTCCAGAATCCACATGGGTTCTATTTCCTAGATCTTAAGAGACCATTGATTGTAAGATGCACCACCAATTTAGCAACAGTTGCAATCAGGAATGTACATAAAAAGAGGGATTTATTCGCATACAACAATACTTCAGGCAGGGCAGGGAGCGACTGGTCCCGAGTGAAACCTGAACCAGGGCTCTAAGCCCAGACCTCCCTCTCAGGCTCTCCTCTGCTTCTCCTGCACACTGACTTCACCTTCTCAGACAACTTTTCCGGAGGCCCAAGTCATGGCCACCACCGAGAATGATGCTCAGACTCCTATCCTCCAAACTTCACTGCCAAAATAGAAAGAGCTGCCTTTTTTAATTCTAATTCTAAGCTGTTCAGTTTTTATCCTTGACAGATTTGTGGCCAGGGTGTGGATACCATTGTACTGAGCACCACTAGAACCCCCTGCTTTGAACAGGGAGAGAAGTCCCCCTCAAAAAAGGGCGGAGAGGTAGGGAGTGCCAGGCAGAAAACAATAGATGTGTTTTTGAGGCAAATCAATTGTAGGATACATTCTAATTTTAGAAATGTGAAAATATAAGGGGATTTAGGAATGGGCATCTTAGAACCAAAGAAACGCAACAGGGCAATGCTATTGAGGTATTAGGTGAGAGAACTATGCTGGAGTTAAGGCTGGAAAGGGAGGTGCATCAGGGAGAGAGGCTGTGTCCTGCTGGGGCTGAGAGTTCATTAAAGGTTGCAATCTGCTGACAAAAACATTGGTGAAGGGCTGAGACAGAGAGAATGGCTCTTTTCCAGAGTTGGGGATGCTGCCAGAAGGATATGCAGACTTGAGAGCAAAGCTGAAAACTGAAGGCCATGCATCATGAAGGGGCTCTGAATAGGCTACAAAAAGCAAAGAAGGAAACTCAGGGGATTTAGAGTTAGAGGAATGGAGCCAGAGAGTTGAAAATCCAAGGGCAAAACAAAAACAGAAACACACACACACACACACACACAAAAAAAAAACAAACAAAAAAAACACCCACAAACAGATAAAGATGGATTGGGTTTGGGGGAAGCATGCTAGGCAACAAGCTTATCCTGGAAAAAATACATGAGCCAGGGCCCATGCTCCCTGTCAAGTTATCTGGGAAAGAGCTAGAGTTAGAATACTCAAAGTGGCCGTGGGGATTTTACGAGACAAACTTTTAGAAGTAAAATTGACAGAACTGCTCAACTATGTGCATACTTGAAACTGGGAGCTTAGGTAAGATCTTTGAGCAAGAAAGTATACTAATAGATCTGAAGGAGACCAAAGATAGCCCAGTGGTTTTCTTTATATGTAGCAGGAGAAAATGAAGCTGAACCAAAGAGACAGAGAAGGAACCAGGGAGGCAAAAAAAGAACCTGGAAGTCAAGGGCAGAGAATGTGGTCAGGACTGCAGAGATCAGAGATGGATCCTGAGTGAAGGCTGCCAGGCATGACAATGTCTTGACAAAGAAGATACCCAGTGGAGGGAGAGAAAAGGGCCTCATTCCCAGAGTCAGGCATGGTAACTGCTGAAGAAGGGCTTTGTCTTTATGTATATGGGACAGACTCACCTATGGTCTGTTCCCTAAGTAGAACAAAAACTCGGAGAGGGTAGAGATGAATTAAGAGCATCTTGTATTTTGTTCTATTGCCAGGGTCTGGAACAGTGCCTGGCACATAAAGGAATTAAATCAATATTTGTTTAATGAAGCTGTTGTCTATGATGGTGGGAGGGACACCCTAGGGAGTGCATGAGAAGTGTGGGAGACCCTCATGTTGGATGCACAAGGGTGGTCCTGCCTCTGCTGCCCAAAGTGTTCAACAGTAGATGCTACCTCCTGGATCTAGGATACAACTTCCCACTCTTCCCATCTTCTGTAAGACAGCCTGCCTGCCCAGATTCTGACTATATCAGGATACCTTCTTCACTCGACGGGCTGTAATCACATGGCTTTCATCATACTCCTGTTTGGAACGCACATCTGAAAAGGAAGAGTATTTAACTAGTAACAGTTTTTGTAAAAGAACACATGACCAAACTACTTAGAAAATGCACATCATCATCATATATTTGGCCAGTAAGTTATAGTTATTGTCAGCTTAAAACTCAAGGTGTTGTTCCACTATTCTGAGCTGCCCTATCACAGGTGTGGGGGGCGCAGGAAGAGACTGGACAAAAATTGTATACCTATGGATGAGGACAGTTTGGTGGGAGGCAAGGAAAGAGGGTGGGGTGGGAACCGGGTGGAGGGGAGTTATGGGGGAAGGGGGTGTAAAAAGAGGAACAATTGCCAAAACCGGTTTGGCTCAGTGAAAGGTCCCAAGTTTGATTCCGGTCAAGGGCATGTACCTTGGTTGCGGGCACATCCCCAGTAGGGAGTGTGCAGGACGCAGCTGATCAATGTTTCTCTCTCATCAATGTTTCTAACTCTCTATCCCTCTATCTTCCTCTCTGTAAAAAAAATCAATAAAATATATTTTTTTTTAAATTAAACGAACAAGGAATCTAATGAATAAAATAAACTGATGATAAAACAAAGCCATAGACATGGAAACATGGGACAGACTAAAGAATCTCAGAGGGAAGGGGGGAGGGAGAGTTGGAAGAAATTAGCCAACGTAGTTATATGCATCCAGAGGCCCAGTGCACAAAATTTGTGCATGGGTAGTGTCCCTAGCAATGCCAGCTGCTAGCCGGGGCCGTCCTTCATTCCATGCCACACAATGATAGTCAGCGCACATCATAGTGAGCGACTGAACTCCTGGTCAGTCGAACTCTTGAGGGGACATTTTGCATATTAGGCTTTTATATATATACTGTAGATATGCATAACCCGTGGATACAGACAATAGGGTGGTGAAGGCCTGGGGTGGGGCAGGATCTTGGTGAAAGGGATAGAGCGTCGGTCTGCAGACTAAAAGGTCCCAGGTTTGATTCCGGTCAAGGGCATATACATTGGTTGTAGGCACATCCCCGGTGGGAGGTGTGCAGGAGGCAGCTGGTCGATGTTTCTCTCTCATCGATGTTTCTAACTCTCTATCCCTCTCCCTTCCTCTCTGTAAAAATCAATAAAATATATATATATATTTTTAAATGAAATAATTGTCACAGAATTTCAATTTGGGATGATGAGAAAGTTCTGGAGCCAGACAATGTCAACAGTTGCACAACAATGTGAAAGTACTTTAATGTCACTGAACTGTACACTTTAAAGTGATAAATTTTATATGTATAAATTAACACAATAAAAAATATTTGTGGCCAAAGCCGTTTGGCTCAGTGGATGGAGCGTCAGTTTGCGGATTGAGAGGTCCCAAGTTCAGTTCTGGTCAAGGGCATGTAAATTGGTTGCGGGCACATCCCTGGTGGGGGCTATGCAGGAAGCAGCTGGTCAATGTTTCTCTCTCATCAATATTTCTAGCTCTCTATCCATCTCCCTTCCTCTCTGTAAAAAAATCAATAAAATAATTTTTAAAAAATAAAATAAATTTGTGGCAGGTACAGATGTTATTAGACTATTTCAGAACTTACAAAATAATATAAGTAACTTTAAAAGTCAAATTTCAACTTATTGAAAGTAAAGTCAGAATATTCCCTCTTATCATGGTTCTAAACTTGAGCATGTAGAACAAGTAACGTAATATTTCTGGGTTCCCATGATCTCCCTGTTCACTGACTTACTTTAAGCTTATACCATAGGCAGGTAAACTGCTGCATATGAGTAAGGAGGGATGCACAAAGTTGTTCATTGCAGAACTATCTATTAGAAGCACACAATGCAAGCAACACATTGCAATCAATTAGGAATAGATCCATATCATAGCTAACAGTCAAAGTAAATAAATTAGATTTTTCACATCTAGACATGGGGGGTGAATCTTAAAAAATATAATTTTAAGCCAAATAAAGCAAGTTGCATAATGATTGTACATTATGATACTATTTGTGTAAATATTTAAACACATTATTTTGGGATGCCTGCATATGCAGTAAAAATGTAAAAATATAGAAACAGTTATCTTTGGGGAGGGAAAGAAGTAGGTTCAGGATGGGATACAGAAGAGAAATACATCTGTGTGACATTTAATTTATGTCAAATCTGAGTACATGGGTGTTTATTACTTTTACTATATAGCTGTTAGATGTTTGCTATATTTCACTAAAACAACAGGACTCAGGAACTATTGTTTTAGTGAAACTAGATTTAATCTGTAATGATTTTCAAGTCATATGAATGAATAGCAGCATTTTATGCTATGACTAATAAGTCTGATTTCTTACCATTTATTCCTTTATCTCCAAACATTATTTGGTTCATCAAAAATAATGTTTAAAGAGTGCTATCCACAAAATATTTTTAAGTACTTACCCAATAAACAGAGATAGTTGGGTTCTGTCAATCTGGATAGTTTTGTGACCTGATTCAAGATGTTATAAAGCTCCATTGGTTCACATAGAACCAAATCAGTTAGCCTATAGGGAAGAAACAATAACGTAAAGCTTATTGCCTCTATTTTAAATGAATATTCAAAAAATAAGATATTGAATTAAACTCTTTTAATGCATCTTCAGGCAAAGATTAAAGTAATCATGAACATAATCAGAAAAGCCTCAAAATTCTGTAGTGAGTCATGGCTGCTGTGACTCCATGGTTTTGAGCATGGTCCCATACACTGAAACATTGTGGGTTTGATCCAGTCAGGGCTCATGCATGAGGCAGCTGATCAATATCTCTCTCTCACATTTCTCTCTCTCTCTCTCTCTCTCTCTCTCTCTCTCTCTCTCTCTCTCTCTCTCTTTCACTCCCTCCCTATTTCCTGCTCTCTCTCCCTTTTCTTCTCCCCCTCTCTCCATTCCCCTCTCTCTAAAATCAATGAAAAAAATATCCTCAGGTAAAGATTGATAAAAATAAGAATAAATTTTGTAGTGAAATGTGTGTAGAGAATAAAACATTAAACTACATAACATATGAACTATTTAAATAATAAGCAAGCTATAAAATAGTCAACAGCTCATTTGTTTTTTAGCATATAATTACTGAGCACCTATTACATGCCAGGCACTGAAAATAACTGTGGTAAACTAGACCTAGCTAGCATGAATGCAGACATTGGACACAAAACACAAGAAAAGCACTATACTGTCAGTGTCTCATGTTAGAGGAGGAGTTACGCAAGACTTAGCCAGAAGAGAGGGTGAAAAAGAAGACAAGAACATTCAGTACCTGAGAGAGTTTAAGGAGACTGGTATGGAACAGCAGGGAGAGAGTAATGAGTGAAGAGCCTGAGGAGACTCACTATAAGGATCATGAAGGTCAATGTTGGGTGGAGAATTGCTGATGTGTACTGACAAAACCGCTTGGCCAACTTGGGGCCTTGCTCCTGACTGCAGGGCTGAGATACTGGTTCCTGAGCATGACTGGTGCTCCAAAGATACTGAAGGGGAAGAGCTGGGCCTGTACAGCAGCTCCCACAAGGAAGCCTCCTTTTAGCAAGGGGTGGAGGCTGCAAGGAGCTGCCCAGCACAGTAGGAACTGACTGAGAAGTTGAATCCAGAGGTAGGTAATCTTGATCAAAACAGTTAGGATCCACTTCAGTTACCAGTATGATGCTCACGGAGAGCCCAAACACTTGACACCTCAAGAACTTCTGTTCTCAGCCTCCCCTCCATCAATTTCAACCTCTACATGGATCATTCATATTAGCACAAAACATCATCTGTACCCATCTTTGTTTTCTTTATAGCAAGACTTCTCAAAAGGGTGGTGTTGAATCACTGTCTCCACTTCCTTACCTCCAAACTCTCTAAGACATCCTAATCCTAACTGTGCCATTTAATATGGGCTGCCTTATGGTCATTAGCCTCTGTGTGCTTCAGTTTACATCTCTGTAAAATGGGGGTAATATTAGCATAATATGATAGTTCTATAAAATGAGTATAATAGTACCTATTTGTAGTGTGTGGGTTAATGAAATTACACATAAGGTATTCTGAGCAGGGAGGAAATAAATGCTCAGTAAGTGTTGGCTATTGGCACAAGCTTCTCCCCTGGAGCTTCTAACCTCAAACCACAGAAACTCTTCTGATCAAGGTCATCACAATGTCCATCTCACCTAATCCATTAGTCACTTCTCTATGTGCTGAAATGATGGGTTTCTTAGCTGCGTTTAACCCAGTTGAGCATCCTTCCTTCCCCAGTACTCTCCACTTCCGGAAGTACACACACACACACACTCTCTCTCTCTCTCTCTCTCTCTCTCTCTCTCTCTCTCTCTCTCTCTCTCTCTAGGCTTCCCTCCTACCTCTGTTCCTGCTGTCTTCTTTATGGGAGGCTCTATCTTCACGTAAGAATGCCCTTGGTCATAGTCACCTTTCTTCTCTATCTATACTTTCATTCTAGGAAAGGGCTTCTCAACCTCGGCAGATATTTGAGGCTAGACAGTCTTCTGTTGTGGGGACTCACCTGTCAGTGTTTCCCAAAGTGTGGTACGCGTACCCGCAGGGGTACGGGAAGTGTTTGGTGGGGGTACGCGTTGCACTGGAGTTTGGTGGGGATATGCACTGCACCGTGCTTAGCTGCGCCCAATTCTACGTTCTCATGAGTATGAGGAGTACTCAGCGTTACAAAAATTATAGGAGTACACATATGTCAGAAGTTTGGGAAACAATAAGTGTACATCATAGGATGTTTAGCAGCATCCCTGGACTCCACCCAGTGGTTGCCAGTAGCAAACCTTCTCCAATCCATCTGTAACAACCAAAAAAGTACAGGAGTTGCCAAATGTCCCCTGGGAGAAGAGATATAAAAAATCCATTCATAGGATTACTGCCACATCACCTTTTCAATTGCCATTTTCTCTTCTTTTGAATTTGAACTCTGGAGTTAGTTATTGATATACTGATATATGGTTTGGGAAAGTAAGGGCTTCTTTCATTTTATTTTATTTTTTTAAATAAATCTTTATTACTGGAAGTGTTACAGATGTCATCTCTTTCACACACCCCTCCCCATTAACTCCCTCTTCCCCTCCTTTACCCTCTCCCCAGGCCCAGTATGCCTTTATTTTATTTTTTGGCCTTAATGTACTGACTTCCAGCACTATGTCAAATAAGAGTGGTGAAAGTGGACATCCTTGTCTTCTCTTCCTGATCTTAGGATGAAAACTTTTAGTTTTGTTTTTTTTTACATTTTATTTATTTATTTTTAAATAAATCTTTATTGTTCAGATTACAAATGTGATCCTCTTCCCCCCCTCAATTGCTCCCCTCCACCAGGTTCCCACCCCACCCTCTGTCCTTTCCCCATCCCCCATTGTCCTCATCCATAGGTGCACAGTTTTTGTTCAGTTTCTATCCGCACCCTCACTCCCCTTTTCCCCGAGAATCGTCAGTCCACTCCCCTTCCATACCTCTGATTCTATTATATTCACCAGTTAATATTGTTCATCAGATTTTTTTAATTCCCTTGGTTTTTAGATTCACTTGTTGATAGTTACGTATTTGTTGATCATAATTTTTCTCTTTATCTTCTTCCCCTTCCTAAATAACCCCCTTCAGCAATTCATATAATTCTGGTTCGGCAGTGATGAACTCTTTTAGCTTTTTTTTGTGAAGCTCTTTAACTGTCCTTTGATTCTGAGTGATAGCTTTGCTGGGTAGATTATTTTTGGCTGTAGGTTCTTGCTATTCATCACCTTGAATATTTCTTGCCATTCCCGTCTGGCCTGCATGGTTTCTGTTGAGAAATCAGCTGACAATCGTATGGGTGTTCCTTTATAGGTAACTACCTGCTTTTCTCTTGCTGCTTTTAATATTCTCTCTTTGTCTTTTGCTCTTGGAATTTTAATTATGATGTGTCTTGGTGTGTTCCTCCTTGGATTCCTTTTGTTTGGGGTTCTGCGGGCTTCCTGGACTTGTAAGTCAATTTCTTTCCCCAGGTGGGGGAAGTTTTCTGTCACTGTTTCTTTCAATATTCTTTCTGTATCTTGCTCTCTCTCTTCTTCTGGAATCCCCATAATTCTGATGTTGTTTCGCTTGAAATTGTCCCAGAGGTTTCCTACACTATCTTCAACTTTCTGGATTCTCTTATCTTCTCCCTTCTGCAGAGGAGTGTCCTCTGGCTCTTCGTGTTCTAAATCTTTGTCTTGATTCTTGTGATCTTCCAGTCTGTTTTTAGGACTTTGTATAATATTTTTTATTTCAGACAATATTTTCTTCATTTCTTGTTGATCCCTTATTATTTCTAGTTGCTCCCTTTTCATATCCTCATAGGTCTCATTTATTTTATCGGCCTTTTTTAGGATATTGTTGAATAACCTTATAACTGTAGTTTTGAACTCAATGTCCAATCTTTTCTTTTCCTCCATCTCCTTCCTTTGTCTCCTTCCTCTTGTCTGCATTTTAGTTGTTTCCCTGATTTGATGGAATAGCTTTGTGTTCTAGGTGTTCTGGTAGAGCCCAGTAGCACAGCCTTCCCAGTTACCTGCGGTGGACAGTCTTGGTGTAGCCCTTTGTGGGCTGTGTGTGCAGTCTTGTTGTTAAGCCTTGCTTATTGTTGGTATCACTGGGAAGCTTTGATCTCCAAACCAATTGGCTGTGAGGATCAACAGAGTCTCAGCTAGGAGGGCTTCTGTACTCTGCTTGGATAGGGCGGGGTCTCGGGGTGGCACAGACAAGCTTTGGTTCCCTGTCAGTCTCGCCTTAGAAAAGACCTGTTCTCGGAGAGTTTCAGAAGATTGGTTGCAGGCGCGCGCACCTCTTTGGTAAAGGCACAAACAAGCTTTGGGTTCCTGCCAGTCCCTCCTTAGAGAAAGCCAGCCTCTGGGAGAGCTTCTGTGCTCAGCCAGAGATTGGGCAGAGTCTCAGGTTGGTGCATACAAACTGTTTTCCCTTGGGCTCCTCCCCAAGTCCCACAATAATGGCCTCTGGCTTCACACACCTCTGAGAGATCTCTGCCCACTGCCTGACAGTCTGGCCTCTCCCTGTCTGGGGCCGTCTATCAGAGCAATAGGGTGATTCTGTTTTCCTCTCGAACAAGAAAGCCAGTTGCGCGTTAGCTGTCTGCCCTCTCCGCGCACTGGGAGTAAGCCAGTAGCGAACTCAGCCCAGCCCGCCCTCTCTGCGCTCCGGGAGTCCGCCAGCAGCAATCTCTGTCCGGCCCTTCCTCTCCGTGCGCCACGAGTAAGCCAGCGCCTTTTCACGCACACAGTTCTCCGTACCTTCACAGTTCCTGAGGTTCAGCGTGCCTTCTCTCTCCTTCCCAGATGGCAGAGCCTCCTCTCAGCTAGCCGTCCGGTGCTTCAGGGCAATGCCTCCCCTGTTTTTCAGTTCTAAATTCAAATTTGTTGTGGTAGGCTGCATTCGGGTGTCTACCCTATGCCGCCATCTTGGTGTCTCCGCTTCTTTTATTTTTTAAATATATTTTATTTATTTTTTACAGAGAGGAAGAGAGAGATAGTTAGAAACATCGATGA